TTTCCAATGACTCTATCCAGTATTTCAATACCCTCATCCCCCTTTCTGTACTTTTCCCCCACCATCTTCCATACTATATGTATTTAACTCATTGCTTACTGTCTCTTCCCACAAGAATGCAAACTCCACCTAAGCAGGATTTTTGTTGTTTTTGCAGTTTTGGTCATCACGGAATCACGGGCACCCAGCACAGCGTCTGTCTCATGATACATGCTCGAGAAATACAGAATGAATATTTTCCTATCCAAATACTAAACAGGTTATAAACTGTTTAAAGGCAAGCCCAATGCCTTTTAAATCTCTGTATTCTCTCCCCTCTCTGAGGAAGAAACAGTATTTGATGCCAAATACATGCCCAATACATGTTGAATTAACCAACCATTTCCCTGTATCCTCAGAAAACAGAATATATACGTAGAAAGATATTTTCTGTATGGCTGACAGTAAATGTACATTAGCGACAAGCAGTGATGAAAAGATGCCTCATCTCTGTTTCCATATTAACTGACAAATTATTTGTTATTCTTCTTTCTTTTAAGGCAAATAACTGAGCCAAACATTTTAGAAAAGTGACTTTTTCATCATAAGGCAGGACACAATATCAGGTATTAATACAACTGGGAAGAGGAAAAACACAACAAACCATAATGGTGTATAACAGATCTCATTTACAGGTACAAAAGCAAGTATTTTCACAATGAGATTAATCTATTCTAGAAATATTTCCCAAATTCTACTCTTGTAACTAGTGATAAACTCAGTACTGCTGATGTCATGGAAAGGTGAAAGGCTTCTTTTTCTTTCTTTTTTAGAGATGGGGTCGGCCTACACTGCCCAGGCTGGTCTCAAACTCCTGGGCTTAAGTGTCCGGCTGCCTCAGCCTCTCAAAGTGCCTGGATTACAAGCATGAGCTACCACACCTAGCCAGAAAGATAAAAGACTAATTTATCTAACAAATGCTAATGCTACAGAGTTTCGTCAAATAAAATTGTGGGGGAATTTTACTGCCCTAGAAGATTGATTCCAGCTGCTTTCCCAGGGCATTGGATCTCTGGAAAATTTCAGTTATTGGAAAAATCTTGACATATACAAGCACATCAAGCATTGATGTTTGACCCATTATAATTATGTTAAAACCATACAAATTATGTATAAATACATTTTTAAAAATTTTAAAGTATTACTGGCCTCAGACTAGTTTTGTCTTTTTCCCCCATCAATGGATATTAGAACATACAGCCTCTATGCCATGAGAGGGGCTAACAGAATTAACTGATATTAAAAAAGGAATCCTCACTGGGCGTGCCTATGATCCCAGTACTTTAACAGGCCAAGGCAGGTGGATCACTTGAGGACAAGAGTTCAAGACCAGCCCAGTCAACATGGAGAAAACTTTTCTCTACCAAAAATACAAAAAAATTAGCCGGGCATGGTAGTGCATACCTATAGTTGCAGCTACTTGGAGAGGCTGAGGCAGAGGGAGGACGGTTTGAGCTCAGGAGGCAGAGGTTGCAGTGAGCCGAGATCATGCCACTGCACTCTAGCCTGGGCAACAGTGAGACTTTGTCTCAAAAAAATAAATACATAAATAAATAAATAAATAAATAAATAAATAAATAAATAAATAAAAACAGCTAGGCATGGTGGCACTTGGCTGTAGCCCCTGCTACTCTGGAGACTGAGGTGGAAGATCACTTGAACCCAGAAGCTGGAGGCTGCAGTGAGCTATGATTACAACACAGCATATGTAGGTTACTTTTTTTGATCTACCCCATCAAAAAAAGTGAATTAAAAAAGGAATCCTCATATTTCAAAAAGGGTGAAAATAACTGGCTTTCAAAGGTATCATTTATTTTACATATGATCTTTAACTTTGAGAGGAAATTACTGCATAGATAAGTAGGCATTTTTTTCCACACTGGTACTTGCATCTAACTGGCAGTATGGTAAAGGAGGAAAGGAAAGACTTGGGTTTGGGTCTTGACTGTTCTATTAACTAGCTATTAAAACATGAACAAGGCACTCCACTTCTACAAGCTTCAATTTCTTCACATATAAAATGAGGATGAATTTACCTCCCCTAACCACTTCATTAAAAGGTGTTAGAAGACAAAATCAGAATGTAAGTTAAATTACAAAGTATTATAGAAATAATACAGAATGCATGGAAGTGCAAAAAAAGTTAAGTTTGGATGTGACTACACAGGGACTTGAATGCCAGGCTAAAAACTTGATTCCATAGGAAATAAAAACCATTAGGAGGTTTTACTGTCAGGGGGTGGGGAATTCTGGGGAATGTGGGGTGAGACAGAGTGCTGTGGAAGTGAAGTGGGGGTGGGGGTGTATGCGTGGTGTGTAACCAATGAGCTAACTGTGTCTTCAAAGAAATCTAATGGCGCCATGAGAGGATGCATAGGAATCCAAAGACCTAAAGGCTACTGTAGCCGTTCAATTAAAAGATAAAAACCTGGATTAGGCAGGCATGATGACTCACATATGTAATCCCAGCACTTTGGGAGACCAAGGAGGTAGGCTTATCGCTTGCGCCTAGAAGTTCAAGATTAGTCTGGGCAACGTGGCAAAACCCCATCTCTACAAAAAATACAAAAATTAGCTGGGTGTGGTGGTGGCATGCACCTGTAGTCCCAGCTGCTTGGGAGGCTGAGATGGGGGGATCATTTGAGCCCTGGGGGCAAAAGCTGCAGTGAGCCAAGTTCGAGATCACACCTCTGTACTCCAACCTGGGTGACAAAGCAAAACTGTCTCAAAACAAAACAAAAAAAACAACTACAGCACTGACAGTAAGAAAGGAGTGGGCTGCCTTTCAAACGCAGGAGGGAGGAGTGTAGAAAAAGAGAAAAATTTAATACAAAATAGACAGGTGGACAGTAACCAGAATAAAGAAAAAAAATTCTTTATTTTGTTATTGGAAAGGTCAAGTTTAGTTGTGTTAAATTTGAGATGTCTGGAGGTACTCACAAGGGTGTGAAATTAAGCCTTAAAAGAAGAGGTGTTCCCAGAACTGTAGTTCTGGGAGTTAGCTGCTTAAGGCGACTGAAGGTGAAGGAAGAGTGAGAAGAGTAACAGAGTGCTGAATAAAGAACCTGGATAACACCAATTGAAAGAGCGGGCAGAACTAAAATCAGGGAAGGAGAATAAAATGAATTTGAGGTAGAACAAGAGGGAGAAATTATTACAAATGCTGTAACTTACATAAATATTAAAAAAGAAATTCAACATTATTTTTAAGTTTGATATTTGATTCAGAATTAAACATTAAGGAAAGAGTTTAGAGAACACGTTCTTGACTTGGTTTCATGCTTACAGAAATATTATTTTCCTCTGGTGAAAAATCTGTAAGCTCCCAGAGTAAGCCTTCCCCACTGTCTCCCTAGTCAAAAGCTTCTGAGTTGGTGTGACATAGCCTTCCTTCCCATACCATCAATGAACTTAGTTGAAGGTAGACAAATAGGCTGAAGATGAAAAGGGACTGAGATCCCGTTGTCTTCACGCATTCATAGAAATGATGCAGACCAGCCAGAATGCAACAAGAGAAAGTGATGACAATCTTCTGGAGAGATGTTTGACTTTTTATTATAGTCTATAGATGCTTATTACAGACATCTAGAGGTCACAATAGCACATACCCTTTCACTTAAAACAATTATCTCTTTACTTACAGCACAATACAATAACTGACTTCTATCTCTTCTCTTACATGACTAAGAAAAGACTAAGCTGTGTTTGGTATATTGTTTAAAGTAGCAATGAAATACCATTTTCCTCCACAGAGTATACTTCAGCACCCAACAAGCTAAATTTTCAGTATCTGGGAAATATTTCAGGTATTTGGTTCTATTTTCCAGAATAGCTCATTAGCTAGCAATACGAGAAGGAGTTGTCATTACGCTTATCCCTTTAGCCAACAGATATCGAAAGCCTCAAATTTTAAAAATGAAGTGCTTTGTTATAATAATTCTCTTAAGAATAAGTAATTATAGTAACTCAGTTACCTATCTTACAAAGCCAGAAATCTGCAAGTCATCCTAGAGTCTTCCTTTCTCTAACCTCTGATTAATCATTTACCATATTTAAATAGCTCTCAAAAACATTCCTCTACCACCATTATCCCTTGTCTAAGTATTAAGCTATTAACTAAACTGACTGGGCATAAAATCATAATAATCAGACTTTGGGTCGATGTTTAGATATTTAACACCTGGTGATGTACTCTGCCCTTCCAGTACTAAGAGGTTGCAAAGACAGCAAGTCAATGCAAAATCAAAGTACTCCTTCCAAAGAAAACTTTTCTCTTCACCATGTGATTCTATTATCTGACCTACGGGAAATGCCTCCAGTTATTCCAAAATGCCAACTTCTCCCACATCCTAGAGCACTTGTCCCCAATATTGTTGGCACAAGGGACCAGTCTGGTGGAAGACAATTTTTCCATGGATGGGGTGGGGGTGTTGGATGATGGTTTTGGATTAAACTGTTCCATCTCAGATCATCAGGCATTAGATTTTCATAAGGAGCATACTACCTCGATCCCTCACTTCTGTAGTTCACAATAAGGCTTGTACTCCTATGAGAATCTAATGCCACTGCTGATCTGACAGGATGCAAAGCTCAGGCAGTAATGCAGCTCACTTCCTGCCGTGTGGCCCTACTCCTAACAGGCCATGGACCAGAAACACTCCGAAGCATGGAGGTTGGGGACCGCCAGCCTAGAGGCCTGGTTAGATTTCTATTCCCTTTTCTGCTAGCATTTATGGATAAAAAACAAACAGAATAATTTTAGAAGCACAAATGCAGTAAAGCCCTAATCCCAATGAAGTGTAATGTTCATAGTATCTTGCTTATATTACAAATAAGATTGAAATAACAAATCCATCTAAATACATATAATTGATTTATATGTTTTTACTTAGACATCACTGGCATTTAGCTATCTTAAAAAAAAAAAAAAAAAAAAAAAAAATTTAAAGCAAGGCAATTACCTGAGGAGAGTCAAAAGGATATCGACTACTAAATTTAAATAGAAGTTGAAACTTTTCCCCTTCATATAAGGTACCTGGTGCACCTTCCATGTCTACAATCCACCTAGAATAGAAAAGGCAAATTAAAAACTTAAGATAATAGAGACTGGGGTAAGGAGGAGAAAAGAGAACACCAACTACTTCCTATACACTAAGCACTGGGACAAGAGTTGTTTATTCGTAACAGCAGTTGCCAGTCTCACAATAACTCTGAGTGTTAATACTCATGACATATCCCTTTCTCTGACACTCAGGGGTTAAATAACCAGATCAAGGTGAGACAGCTAGCAAAAGACAGAGCCAGGTCTAAAAAAGCAAACAAAATAAAAACTCAAACTTAGGTGTGCCGACACCAAAGCCTGTGCTCTTCCTACTTGATTTATACTATCTAATTTTTCTAAACTATCATTTCTACAATGCTGATATTATGTATTTTACATATAATATCAAAGTAATCAACTGCCTGATTATTACTGGTGGAAGCCATGGAGAAATACGTATAGACAATGACAACAGAGAACTGTAGCTGTCAGACTTATTTTTTTCATCAACATTCTAGAGAAGACTAACAGGGAAAGGGGAACTAAACTGACATCAGTCCACTTACTCTGAGAGTTAAGCAAAGCTTTGTAGTACCTTTCCTTTATCTCACACTATGTATCAATTGTTTAATGAAGTCCAGAATAGATTTCTATGGCATCTATGCAAGCCTACTTTATTTTCATCTGTAACAATCATAAATATAAATATGTTTTTATTTTTAGTCTATATACTATTTCTTGCTATTTTAAGATGGGGGAAGAATAAGGGATAATGACAAGCAAAGATTACAGGGCAGCAGCCAAGCACGGTGGCTCAAGTCTGTAATCCCAGGACTTTGGGAGGCTGAGGTGGACGGATCATGAGGTCAGAAAATCAAGACCATCCTGGCTAACATGAAACCCCATCTCTACTAAAAAAAACACAAAAATTAGCCAGACATGGTAGTGTGCACCTGTAATCCCAGCTGCTCAGGAGGCTGGGGCAGGAGAATCACTTTAACCCGGGAGGCGGAGGTTACAGTGAGCCGAGATTATACCACTACACTCCAGCCTGGGCAACAGAGCAAGACTCTGTCTCCCAGAAAAGAATAAAAAAAAAAAAAGATAACAGGGCAGCATTAGAAGCAAAAGTGAACTGAAGTCATTAATAATGAGTTCCTATTTATAGCTCTGTCGCTTATAATTATTGTATACCTAGCCAATTCTCTTCAACTTTTCAGGTATTAAACTTTCTTGTATTTTAAAACACAAGAAAACAAAAGGAAGACAGAAAAGACAGTGCTGGGATTCTAGTCATCACCACGTATACCATGAACTTAGGAATATGTAAAATGATAAATATGCCTATTCTCTAAAAGAAATCAGCTACAGTATACAGACTCTTAAGAGCATAGCTATTCATTTTTAGAATGCATGCTGAGTACCATACATGGTAATGAAAGATATGACCACAGACCCAAGAGACAATATTTTATAGTGAAATTAGACAGTTATAACTTAAGTTATACTGAAGTGGGAATTACAGTTAATCTTAACTAGTTGTGTAAGGCCTCTCCAGTTTTAACTACCTCAATAATAAAACAGAAAATAATTACCTCATATTGTTGCTGGAAAGTTAAGTGACCCCGCATATGTAAAAAACCTAGCACACTCCTGACTCAGAGCCAATGCATGGTAAATTAAATACAAGACAAAAGCTGCATACAGAACAAAATCTCTCTCTCTCTCTTTTCTGTTGTTTTTGAGACAGAGTCTCACTCTGTTGCCCAGGCTGGAATGCAACGGTATGATCTCGACTCACTGCAACCTCCGACTCCCGGGTTCAAGTGATACTCCTTCCTCAGCCTCCCATGTAGCTGAGATTACAGGCGTGCACCACCACGCCCACCTAATTTTTCTATTTTTAGTAGAGATAGGATTTTGCCAGGTTCGTCAGGCTGGTCTCCAACTCCTGACCTCTTGAACCGCCTGCCTTGACCTCCCAAAGTGCTGGGATTACAGGCATGAGCCACCACGCCAGGCCCAAAGAAACTCCCCTTTTATATATTAGGTCCTTCATAGTCTTTTAAATTCCTTTTTTATTTTTCCACCCACATCCACTAGGCAGTGATATTCCCAAGAAAAATGGTGGTCATTCATTCTGTTTAAATGGTAATTTTTGGACACACAACATAAATTTACATATGACCTATACTAACAAGCACAGCTTTTAAATAAGAGCTAAGCAAGTATCTCATCAATCCTTGTAGTATCTGTATGACAGGTCAAAGACAGAATAACTTCCAAGAGTTTCAGGTACTTTAATGATAATTTTTTTTTTTTTTTTTTTGAGACAGGGTCTTATTCTGTCACCTAGGCTGGAGTGCTGCAGCACAATCAGGGCTCACTGTAGCCCTGACCTCCTGGCTCAAGTTACTCCCGCCTCAGACTACCGAGTAGCTGGAACACAGACGTACACCACCATGCCCAGCTAACTTTTTTTCTTTTTTTAAGTAGAGATAGGGTCTCCCTATGTTGCCCAGGGTGGTCTGGAACTCCTGGGCTCAAGGGATCCTCCTGCCCTGCCTCAGTCTCCCAAAGCACTGAGATTACAGGCATGATCCACCATACCAGGCCTAATAACTTTTTATTACTTAATAAAGTAAGATATGTTTAGTGTAGAAACTTCAGAAAAGTATAAATAAAAATCACCCAGTGATAACCACTGTGAAAGTTTTTGGGGGTACACTTCATTCTAGTCATTTTGTTTCCTGGCCTATATGAAATGGCAGTCCAGTAGCTATATTTTGTGCACACTTAAATTACATAAATTTAAACCATCAGGGTTAGTGATTCCATTCATGAGCATATGCCCCAAGTTAAGGATGTGATGAGACTACATGTGTTGTTCTCTCAATCAGTCTCAGTTCTTTAACACCTGTGAGTACCTAGTAATCTGTAATTCTAATGTTTAAGCATTATTATTTTTTATTTCTTCATACATCATGGTTCCTAATCAAAGATAGAACCATCTATTCCACTCTGGACGAAAAACTGGGATTGGTGGATTTATTAAAACAGAGTACATACCAATAAGGTCTTACTTAAGGATTTTTCAAAGATAATTATAACTATACAAAATTTTTACCTTACATGCTGACTACAGACTATAACTCAAGTGATGCCATGTTTCACTGTACTGCCTTGACAAATCTTTTCCATATTACTGATATTTATACCATTCCCAAATTATCCCTAGAATCAGTAACGTTGAAATGAGTATAGTTAGTTCTAAGTCTTTTTCTATATCTGTTCCTTTCTTAGGATGGTGAGTAGTAGGTCAAATAGGATAGTATTCACATTGTTTAAGGTCTCGATACATGCTACCAAATTGTCTTCCAGAAAGTTAAAAAAATTTTTTTCTGTGGGTTCAAAGTAGGTGTATATGTCTGTAAGGTACATAAGGTATTTTGATACAAGCAAACAATGCATAATAATCCCATCAGGGTAAATGGGGTATCCCATCATCTCAAGCAGTTATCCTTTCTGTTACAATCCAATTATACTTTTAGTTATTTGAAAATGAAAAATAAATTATTGACTATAGTCACCCTTTTGTGCCATCAAATACTAGAGATCTTATTTATTCTATTTTTTGTACCCATCAGAAAGCTTCTTAATGTGCTTTCAACATCCTCTTTATGCATCTTCATATACTCTTAACAATCTAGTTCTTTATAAGACTATCTTTAAGCCGGGCGCGGTGGCTCAAGCCTGTAATCCCAGCACTTTGGGAGGCCGAGGCGGGTGGATCACGAGGTCAAGAGATCGAGACCATCCTGGTCAACATGGTGAAACCCCGTCTCTACTAAAACTACAAAAAATTAGCTGGGCATGGTGGCGCGTGCCTGTAATCCCAGCTACTCAGGAGGCTGAGGCAGGAGAATTGCCTGAACCCAGGAGGCGGAGGTTGCGGTGAGCCGAGATTGCGCCATTGCACTCCAGCCTGGGTAAGAAGAGCGAAACTCCGTCTCAAAAAAAAAAAAAAAGACTATCTTTATATCCTAGAAGATGGCACAAAGGTAAAACTTTGATGGTTCATTTACAGTAAATCATTAAAAATCATTTTAAAAGAAAAATTCTTACCTGACTGGTATCTCTAAATGATAGGATTTACTCTACAACAAAGGTATTGTTGCTTTGGCTGCTATAATTTGTAGTACTACCTGGTAATCTACTAAAATGTTTCTATTTGTAAAAATTTAAAACATTCTTTCAATTTCTTATAAATTACTGTGTTGTATGGTTTCCCCATCCTCTCAAAAAAGTAAAGCATGAAAGAGGAAGTAATCTCATTATTATCAGTTTCCTTGAGAGCTATAGAGACAGCTAATATAGAGACTCGGGATACTCTGAGGTAGGCTAATAAAAGGAGAGAGGAAAAAGATTAAAATGGGACATAATCTGCATCAGGATGAAAAAAGCGTCAGTTTCATTTGAATAATAATATGCAACACAGCTGGGTGCAGTGGCTCATGCCTATAATCCCAGCACTTTGGAAGGCTGCGGCAGGAGGATCACCTGAGGTGAAGAGTTCAAGACCAGTCTGAACAACATGGAGAAACCCCATCTCTACTAAAAATACAAAAATTAGCCGGGCGTGGTGGCGCATGTCTGTAATCCCAGCTACTGGGGTAGGGGGCGGAGGGGGTGGTTGAGGCAGGGGTTGCACTGAGCCAAGATGGCGCCATGGCATTCCAGCCCGGGCAACAAGAGTGAAACTGTCTCAAAAAATAATAATAATATGCAACAAATGCCACTCTAAATGTATGCTACATTTTTGGTTTAGAATAAGAGTTTTATATTTTCTATGTATGATATATACAAAAAAATCAGTTTAAAACTCAACGATGTATTTTCTTTTTTTTTTTTTTAGACAGAGTGAGTCTTGCTCTGCCACCAGGCGCCCGGCTGGAGTGCAGTGGTGAGATCTTGCCTCACTGCACCCTCCGCCTCCAGGGTTCAAGCAATTCTCCTGCCTCAGCCTCCCAACTAGCTAGCTGGGACTACAGGCATGTGCCACCATGCACAGCTAATTTTTGTATTTTTAGTAGAGACGGGGTTTCACCATATTGGCCAGTATGGTCTCTATCTCTTGACTTCGTGATCCACCCACCTCGCCCTCCAAAGTGCTGGGGTTACAGGCATGAGCCACCATGCCTGGCCAAACTCAACAATATTTTTAAGTGATTGTTACAGAGATAAAGATATGTATTATCTTTTTTTCAAAAGAGTCTATACATCTATTCATAATATTCTTGAAGGTTTTTAAAGCTTTGACTCCTGTCTTAGGTACTGATACAAATGCCAATGTCAAAGTTACCCAGAACTGTTTCCTCTACAAGTTATATGACTTTTGGTCACTTATGCTCCCTGGACCTAGACTACACTAAATATTTGAATTGGCTCATTGTCCTACAAGTTGGTTTATAGTCAATTTTTATCTTATTGCCTACTTTTCTTTTTAGAGTTTTTTTTTTTTTTAAGTGAAGGATAAATTATTTTAGATTTCTCCACAATTTCAGAACATTTACTACTGTCTAACAAAATTATTAAATAAAAAAGATAAGGCGACCGAGTTGGGCAGATCACCCGAGGTCGAGAATTCAAGACCAGCCTGACCAACATGGTGAAACCCAGTCTCAAAAAAAGATGGTAAGGACTGATTATACTGGTTGTTGGGATTTTAAGATGATACCATTAAAAACATTTCAGACTCAGATGTTCATTTTTCAGAGAGGCAGCCCTCTCTACTTTTCTTAATGTATCTAGGAAGGGCTTTCTGCTCCACTCCCAAGGAAGGACCTGAATTAGAATACTTCTCCCCTCCTATCCCTCACTTTCTTTTTTATTCTCATGCCACAGATTTTTATATATTCAACGACACTGCTGAGAGTCACACTTTCTCTTAGTTGCCCTTCTGTACAGGATGCAATTAATGTTTTTAGGGCATGGGATATCTCTTGACTATTACTTTCTTCATATCCCTAAATCGATACATATTTTTAATTTGATAAACATCCTCACACCAAACGGTTCTTTAATATTATAGATGAGAATCACTTCATAAACAAAGTCAGACAAAAACACTGAAACGCTACTCGGTTAAACAAAACTTTTTAAAAATTTACCAAAGAGGTCAGGCATGTGGCTCAAGCCTGTAATCCCAACATTTTGGGAGGGTGAGGCGGGTGGATCACAAGGTCAAGAGATGGAGACCATCTTGGCCAATATGATGATACCCCGTCTCTACTAAAAATACAAAAAATATTAGTTGGGTATAGCAGCACATGCCTGTAGGCCCAGCTACTCGGGAGGCTGAGGAAGGAGGATCGTTTGAACCCAGGAGGTGGAGTTTGCAGTAAGCCAAGACAGGGCCACTGCACTCCTGCCTGGCAATAGAGCAAGACTCTGCCTCAAAAAAAAAAAAAAAAAAAAAAGAAGAAAAGAAAAATAAATTTTAAAAATTTACCAGATAGTTTAAAAAAAAAAGCTTTACAAATTATGCAATAATGTGTATAATATGATACTGATTATATATATAAATGCATAGAATAAGATCTGTTTACTGTATTTACCTCTTGGTGAAAGACAGTAAGATGAAATGTGAAAATCATTTTGTAATTTTAAAAAGTAGGTGAACATTCATACATTATCGATAACAAAGAAAGAGCAGTTTAAAAACTAAATACTTACTGTGTAATTGAATTCTGAACACTCTTTTCATTTAAAGTCATCCCAGGTGGTGGGTCATTCTGCAAAGCCAACAGTTCTTTCTGTAGTCGTTTCTAGAAAAGAACATGAATAATAATTTGTCCTTTTTTTTTGAGACTGGGTCTGTGTCACCCAGCTTGGAGTGCAGTGGTGTGATCACAGCTCACCACATCCTCAAACTTCTGGGCTCAAGGAATCCTCCCACCTCAGTCTCCCAAGTAGCTTGAGACTATAAGTGTACACCACAATGCCCAGCTAATTTTTTTTTGGTAGAGACAGGGGTTTCACTTTGTTGCTCAGGTTGGTACTGAACTCCTCAAACGATTTTCCCAACCTCAGCTTCCCTAAGTGCTGAGATTACAGGTGTGAGCTACCACACTTGGCCTGTTTTAGAAACAACATCCTTCCAGTTATCCTTGATAATATCCTTCTCCAATCTGAAATTATTGATTAAATTTCCTCCAAACGTCCATATCTTTCCCCTTTACTAGTCCTTTATATATTCTACATACCTATTGCTCAAAATTTGAAGAGCCTGTCCTGTAATTCACAATCTATTGTCAAACTATTTCAACACTAGAGCTTCCAGGCAGCTGAACATGAGGAGCTTCCTGGAGGGTAGCACACCTGGAAAGGACATGGAAGCTCCACATTCCTTCCCTCATGCATCTCTTCATCTGTATGCATTATAATATTCATTAATATAAACCAGTAAATATATCCATGACAGTAAAGGTAGTTCCAGCAGCAGCCACCAGAGCCTCAAGAGCATAGCCAAATGGGTGGCTTTCCTGGAGAATCTGCTGGAAGACTTAGAAGGCATGAAAAGATTTAGGGAATTTAAAAATATCAATGAAGAAAATATTTTTTTGGCTAGCATGTAAAAATTTATTTAATGCATGATAAGCAGATGCAGGAAAAGGCAAAGGAGGTCTATATGACCTTTCTGTCCAGTAAGGCCTTGTCACAAGTCAAAAAAAGAGTCACTCTTCGCTCAATGAAAAGATCCTGGAAGAACCACTTCCTCTGATGTTCCAGGAACTCCAGACTGGATCTTCAATCTCATGAGGTACAACAGCTACAGTTTCTTCTTAAAGTTTGACTAGATTTCTGTTGTTGTTGTTGTTCTTGATTTTTTAAGAGACAGGGCCTCACTTGTCACTCAGGCTGGCATGCAGCAGCATGATCCCAGCTCACTGCAGCCTAGAACTTCTGGGCTCCAGCCATCTTTCTGCTTCAGTCTCCCAAGTAGCTAGAACTACAGGTGTGCAATACCACGCTTGGCTAATTAAAAACAACTTTTTTTGTAGAGACAGGGTCTCACTATGTTGCACAGGCTGGTCTTGAACTCCTGGCCTCAAGTGATCCTTCCACCCTGGCCTCTCAAAGTTCTGGATTACAGGTGTGAGCCACTGTGCTGGCCCTGATTTGCTTTTAAAATACAGGCAAACTGCAAAAGAGGAGAAAGTTCAGCCTGATGCTCAAACTACAAGTAGAAAAGTTTCTAGAATTTTTAACACGAGTTCCCAAAGACTGGCAGATTTATGGAGGAAACAAGTAGGCTGGTGTGGTGGCTCATGAATATAATCTCAGCACTTCAGGAGGGAGAGGTGGAAAAACTGCTTGAACCCAAGAGTCTGAGACTAGCTTTGGCAACACAGTGAGACCCTGTCTCTACTTTAAAAAAAAAAAAAAAAAAATTAGCCAGGCATAGGTGCATGCACCTGTACTCCCAGCTACTTCAGAGGATAACGCAAAAGGATCTTTTGAGCCCAGGAAGCCAAGGCTGCAGCGAACTTAGTTGTATCACTGCACTACAGCCTAAGTTAGAGAATGAGATTGTCTCAAAAATAAAACAAAAATAAGAAAAAAAAATCATAATAAAAAGTAAAAAAACTTATAATTGCCTTGTTATGTACAAAAACTGAAAGGCACAAAACTCTTCAATGGGATATGTGTATTAACTGCTTGACCAGTTAAGTTTTGCACAATGGCTAATCCTACATTTAAAAAAATTGCTTTGAAGTTTCAGTTCACAAAACGATTTCTTCCACACTGGAAAAAATATTTCAACACTGATGCTAAAGCAGTTTAAAAAATTTTTTCAGCCGGGCGCGGTGGCTCAAGCCTGTAATCCCAGCACTTTGGGAGGCCGAGGCGGGTGGATCACGAGGTCAAGAGATCGAGACCATCCTGGTCAACATGGTGAAACCCCGTCTCTACTAAAAATACAAAAAATTAGCTGAACATGGTGGCACGTGCCTGTAATCCCAGCTACTCAGGAGGCTGAGGCAGGAGAATTGCCTGAACCCAGGAGACGGAGGTTGCGGTGAGCCGAGATCGCTCCATTGCACTCCAGCCTGGGTAACAAGAGCGAAACTCCGTCTCAAAAAAAAAATTTTTTTCAACACTAAAGCAGTTATGAATAGCCAGTTATCTATAAAACATCAAGACTTCATAGCTACTATATTGAGGTTATAGGTTGAGTAACCCTTATCTGAACTGCTTGTGGCCAGAACTGTTTCGGGTTTACTTGATGAGCATCCCAAATCTGAAAACCCAGAATCTGAAATACTCCAGTGAACATTCCCTTTGAGTGTCATGTTGCTACTCAAAATGTTTCAGATTTCAGGGCATTTCACATTTCAGATTGGGGATGCTCAACCTGTGTAAGATCTTAACAGCTTGGGTTAAAAGTGCTTAAAAGGGCCGGGCATGGTGGCTTAGGACTGTAATCCCAGCACTTTGGGAGGCTGAGGAGAGACTATCCTGACCAACATGGTGAAACTCCATCTCTACTAAAAAATACAAAAATTAGCCGGGCATGGTGGTGCAAGCTTGTAGTCCCAGCTACTGGGGAGGCTGAGGCGGAAGAATCACTTGAATCGGGAGCCAGAGGTTGCAGTGAGCAGAGATTGCGCCACTGCCCTCCAGCTTAGTGTCATAGCAAGATTTTGTCTCAAAAAAAAAAAGTACTTAGAAGTTTTAGCAGTGCTTCCTTTGCTGCTTTCTAATTATAAAAACCACAGTTCTCCATAATCCTTAAAAGAATGTCATTTCACAGACAAGCTTTCCAGAGAAGTTCTAAAAGTAACCCTTTACGCAAAAAGCCTTTTGAAAATGTTAGGCTTTGTGACAAGAATCAAATCAGAAGAAAAAAAGAAAAGACAATATTAATAAAATGTTAAACAATTCTATATATATAATTTTTTTTAATTTAAGTAATTTAAATCTATAATCTATTTGTCTTCATAAATAGGATCACCTTCACATGGTTTAATATTTCAAGGCTATTGTTGTGAACGTCATTTTTAGAACATCACAATACAACATATTATGATGTGAGATATGTTGAGATTTTCTTCCTACATCCTAGGTATCCTAAAATGGCTATGTATTTTGCATACTTATTTGTACAGCTTTTTACTGTATGCCTCTTCCCTTGTTACCATCAGTGTCCATTCTTTCTCAGTGTAGAACAAGGCAAAAACAAAACAAACAAAAAACACAGTAGTCCCTAATTTATGAATTATAAAACAACCAAATAAACAATGTAATTAAAATTGCATGCAAGGTTATAAAGATTCTTACTATGTCTTTTTTTTTTTTTTTTTTCCCCAGAGATAGGGTCTCACTAAGTTGCCCAGGCTGGAGTGCACAGGCACAATACCACTACAGATTGGCATGGGAGTTTTGACCTGCTCCATTTCCGACCTGGGTCATTCACTCCTCCTGAGGCAACCTGGTGGTCCCTTACTCCAGGGAGGTCGCCATAATGATGCCAAACTCAGTATGGACAACCAATCAGCATAGCACACTACAGCCCAGAATTCCTGGGCTCAAGTGATCCTCCTGCTGCAGCTTCCCAAGTAGCTGGTACTACAGGCACCACCACTGCACCCAGCATAAGTCTTCTCTTAAAGTGAAGAAGACAAGTATGGATACTTGTTCATTACTTAAGAGTTCTCTGCTTAAAAAGTGGTTCCTTCAGGCGGGGAGCAGTGGCTCATGCCTGTAATCCCAGCACTTTGGGAGGCCAAGGCAGGCAGATCACCTGAGGTCGGGAGTTCAAGACCAGCCTGACCAACATGGATAAACTCCGTCTCTACTAAAAATACAAAAATTAGCTGGGCATGGTAACGCATACGTGTAATCCCAGCTACTTTGGAGGCTGAGGCAGAAGAATTGCTTGAACCCGGGAGGCGGAGGTTGCTATGAGCCAAGATCATGCCATTGCATTCCAGCCTGGGCAACAGGAGTGAAACTCCATCTCAAAAAAAAAATGGTTTCTTCTTTTTTTGAACAGTGAAATATTACTATCAGTATGGTAATGTTTCTAGGTGTTTTCAATTTATGACACTTTAAATAAGCTTAGCCATACAACACCACTACAGATAGAAAACTCTGTTGTGAATCGCTGTAACAGACTTTAAATTTGCTTGTTTTGAATAAAGACAGACAAATTTATGGCAAATTTATATGTTAGAATAAGGTTTTCATTATTTTCTACTGATATTAACAAATGAGAGTTCTGTGATCAAGTATATTTTTTTCAAAGCTGGGTCAAACAAGAATTGGCCTCTTCAACAGAACTTTTCATATACTAACTTGTACAGTGATTGTCCAAAGGTAGAAAGATGACATAAAGAGGTTTCCAAAAATAGCTAGGCACAGTGAAGCATGCCTGTAGTCCCAGCTACTCAAGGGACTGAGGCAGGAGAATTACTTGAGCGTCAAAGTTGAAGTCCAGCCTGGGCAACACAGCAAGAACCTGTCTCTAATAAAATTAAACAAGGCCAGGCATGGTGGCTCAAGCCTGTAATTCCAGCACTTTGGGAGACTGCACTGCAACCTAGGCTACAGAGTGAAACTCCATCTCAATAAAATAAACAAAAAACACAACAACAACAACAAAAAGGAGGTTTCCAAAGATAACAGAACCCTTTGAGTATAGAGCATCTCAAAGAAGCTTTATCAAGGACCGTATTTTGGGAAACACTGCTGCAGAAATCTTTCAGATCTTGAGAACTTTACTAGGCCAAGAATGATAGCCCTTCTGAGTGGAAGCAAGCATATAAAGGAGAATCAATCTGCATAGCTACCAAGCAAAACACAAGAAAACAAAAGCAAACTAAAAAAGCGTTGTATTGGTATCATTATCCCTGATCTCCTGAACATAATAGTGAAGTCTCCCCACCCTTAGACTTCTTACATCGCCACAAAGAAATGGATCTGTGGCAGCCAACTTTCAGGAGAACTCCCAATGAACTGTAAAGGTCCTAGTAGTCACACCCTTGTGTACTTCCCTCCCAACGGAATACAACGGAAATGGTATGTCACTCCCAAGATTAGATTATTTTTAAAACTATGGTTTCCGTCTTGGTAATTCTCTCTCTCAAATCACTTGCTCTGGAGGAATCAAGCTATCATGCTGACAAGAGCCAAATTTAGAGAGGCCTTCCATAGTGAGGAACTGAAGCCTCCTACCAATAACCAACCATGTGAGCGATTTGTAAGCAGATCCTTCAAGTCAAGCTTTCAGATGACTACTGCCCTGGCCAGTATCTTACCTGTAAACTCAAGAAGGACACTAAGCCAGAACCAACCAGCTATGCCTCTCTGATTCCTGACCCTTGAAACTGTGAGGTAACATTTGTTGCTTTAAATCACTAAGTTTAAGGGTTTGTTATGCACTGCATAACACTTACCTATCACTACAGATAATACAGGACCACTGCTCCATCCTCCCCTCAATCCCAGAAGAGACTATCATCTACTTCCTCATCAATATCACTAAGTCACAATCTAAGACATTCACTGGACCATGCTTTTTTTACTGAGGGGGTGGAGTTACATTAAAAAAAAAAAAAAAGACAATTCATGCCAGACCCCAGCCATCTTAGCTACTAGGCAATAAACTGACTTGCATATTCACATCCTTTGCAACAGAGAGAGATCAACCAGTATTTGGGGAGTTAAATGAGTACATACATTCACAAATAAAACATTTTTTAAAAAGATACAAAGAGTGGAAGGTCAAACAAAGTGTAGTATCTGTTTTGCAGGTTCACAAAAACAGAGAATTCACCCTTAGGTGTATCCTTCTGGGAAGGATACAAAAAATTTTATATTTTACATGTTAAATTTTTTTTAATTTAAAAAATTT